TCGGACGCTTAACCGACTGCGCCACCCAGGCGCCCCGATAAGTTTCTTTTTATAGGAACAACAGAAAGAAAATGTTACATGCAGGAAAAAAGTTAAAACAATAAAAAGGCTATACAGCAAAAAGAAACAAGTAAATTCTGTGCAGCCCTTCAGAAGCATTTAATATGCACTAAATATGTTCAGAGGGACTGAATGAAATGGATCTTACTGACTTAATCCTCGGGATTTTTGCAAACACGGTTTCCTCGCCTAGAAAACTCCGCAGCTCTTTTCCTGCCTGGTTTTCTTCCTAACTTTTGGATCTTGGATAGGCACCTCAGGACAGCCAATTCTTCCCCTACAAGGCGGATGGAAGTTCCTTACAAGCAGTTTTTTTCCTTGAAGCAATTACAGCTTATGTTTGATTAGCGCATTATTTGATTTATTATCTTTGTCACTAGCTCCACGAGAGCAGGAATAACTTATCACTGTATCCCCAGGACCTCTCAGTGACTGACACACTAGCAAGTACTCAAAGAGTCACTGAGCAAATGCATAAACTTCATTTGACTGGACTGTGTGATCGTGTAGGTTAAAAGCCTCCCACAGAGCAGAGGTCTTCTATCAACCTGTGAGCCTTAGAGTAGGTTTTCTTTAGCTCCAATCTGAGAAGTGATGAAAGAACACTGAAATTTAGTCCAACTTTGGGATTCTATCCATTCTGTAGATTGGATAATTAAAGCCGAATTGTTTGGAAGTACTGTGGAGAAAGAGGGAACTTAGGAATATCACTTTGGGCAAGTCATGTCTTACTCAAGGCCTGAGTTTCCCCATATGAATCGTGACATTCTGGCATTACGCAAAGATTGAAGCCAGTGGATCACGATTGAGAGTGCCTCTCAGAATCACGTGGGAAATTTTTAAAAACTATTCACAACAGTCTCATCAGGACCTTTGGGTGGGAGGTTGCGGCATATGTATTCTGAAACAATCCTCTTAGTGCAGTATCCTCTGTTGAGGCCATTGGAAGCTTCCAGCAATCTTTGCTGGAGAAAAAGCACCCAAATCTGTCGGAGATTTCGGTACTGAAGTCGCAAACACTTCAGCTCTAGCACTTTCTTGTTCCTCTTTTGGGATGAACTTGTTCATTCCAATTCATTGGTAACTTCCAATTAATTGAATTCAATAAAAACTGATGTAGAAACTATCAAGTAACATGTATCAATCTGGGAAGACTTCCTTCCTGAAGACGGTGACATTCCAAACAGATTTCTCTTTTACACAAAGGATCAGGGGGAAAGGTTGGGGGAGAATACGCAAGAAAGGAACAACATTAGCAAAGGTCAACAGGACACAGGGATCATGGGTTATAGAAAAGGAAGAGAGCTGAAGTCGGAAGGGTTGATAGAGCCAAAATTTGCAAGCTTTGTAGGCCACGCTAGGAAGTTGAGGGTATTCCGAGGTCAGTAGACTGATATGATAGAAATTGTGTTATAGAGCATCTTTCTGTCTGTGTTTTAGGGGGAAAATTAGAGGGGAACCTGCAGGTGGGCATACCAAGAGGAGGCTGGTGGGATGGTCTGGTCAGGGCAGGAGAAGTGACACGCTGATGTCTGACTTGGGCCACTGAACGGATGAGCACGTTGCCGGGTGGAAGGCGGTGTTTGGGGGAGGGACTAACCGCGCGGAGAACTGGGTTAGCCGAGATTAGCAAACAGGTTTCTGGAGATTTGTAAACCTTCAGCCTCCCAACCTCCCCGGAAGGATTTAAGCGCCTTTCCTTTAAACGTTAAGACTACCTCCGCGACCCCAGGGGTCGCTGCAGCCTCCACGGACTCTCTAGGCTCGCTCCTGTCTCCTCGCTGGCGGAGGCGGCCGCCACAGGGCAGGCGAAGTGCGCGTGCGTTCTCTGGCCGGCAGGGGGCGCGCGTGCGCAGTCGGGGCCGGCGCGCGTCCCACGGAATGCGCGGTTGCCATGGCTGACATCCCGAGCGCGCGGGCGCGCTGAGATGGGGTCTGAGGCGGCGCTGGGGCGGGCGCGGAGCTGGCGAGAGGGCGGTGAGGCGGTTCCCGAGCCCGAGGGGTTCGCGACCGGCGTGCGGGGTGTCGGCGGCGCCCGGGAGCTTGTCGCTTGCGCGGTCCCTCCGGTTCGGGCGGGAGCCCCCACGACGGAAGGCAGCATGTCGGTGGCGGGGCTGAAGAAGCAGTTCTACAAGGCGAGCCAGGTGAGCGGAGGCCGAGGCGGGGAGTGAGCGTCGGGCCCCGGGCTGCCCGGACTCGGGGGTCAGACCAGGCCCGACCCCGACTCGGGAGGGGGCCGCGGGCACCGAGGGGGGCGACGTTGGCACGTGTCCCCCGCTCGGTGAGCAGAGCCCAGGAGGGACAGGGGCTGCGAGCGAGGTGACCCAGGCCCAGCCCGCCATGTGGGCTCCAGTCTCCTCGAGGAGGGTGGGCAGACCCCCAGGAGGGGCAGAAACGCACCCAGAGGTTGACCCGGGACTTGGACCCCTCTTCGCCTCCCCTCCTCTCCTCTGAAAGGTCAAGGAGGGAGGAAAGAAGGAAGGGGAAGAAACCCTCCTGAGGCTGTCGACACGGGACTCTTGCCAGAGAGCCCAGGGGCAGGGAAACTTCGCGTCTGGAGTGGCACTTAAAAACAAACAAACAAAACCCCCCTTTGATGGGCCCGGTACAAGGTTGTGCCAGAGGGTGGAATGGAAGGTCAGTTTCCCCCTCTGGTCCCTCAGGCGTCCAGTCCCTTTCCCCAGTGGCAAAGACGGTCACGGACGGTTCATGCCTCCCTCCGAAGACACGCTTATGCCTTTCCTTTAAAAACACACACGCCTGGTGGTAACATAGTCTACAGAGTCCTGTGTGCTTTTCCTTCAGGGTCTTGGAGATGACATTAGAGCTGGAATTCTCCATCTCAAATGGTTCCCTGCCGTGGGGGCAGCCTGGCCCTCACCCACTTGCTACCAGAAGAACCCCCTCCCCCCATCCTGACAGCACAGATACCTCTGCTACCAGATGCCCCCGGAGAACTCCCCCCTTACCCCTACCCCAGGACTACGGCCCTAGAATTTCTTTGGTCTCTTAATGGACTCATGGTATACAGGCGTCTATTGACGGACGTGTAGATTGTTTCCCGTCGTTTTCTACAAGCAATACTGATCTGAATAGCCAGTGACTATCTTTTTTTTTTTTTTTATTAAAAAAATTTTTTTTAATGTCTTTATTTATTTTTTTAACGTTTATTTATTTTTGAGACAGAGAGAGACAGAGCATGAACGGGGGAGGGGCGGAGAGAGAGGGAGACACAGAATCGGAAACAGGCTCCAGGCTCCGAGCGGTCAGCCCAGAGCCCGACGCGGGGCTCGAACTCACGGACCGCGAGATCGTGACCCGAGCCGAAGTCGGCCGCTTAACAGACGGAGCCACCCAGGCGCCCCTGTTTTTATTTGTTTTTGAAGGAGGGAGAGAGAGAGAGTGCGCATGAGCTAGGGGAGGGGCACAGAGAGAGAGAGGGAGACACAGAATCCGAAGCAGGCTCCAGGCTCCGAGATGTCAGCACAGAGCCTGATGCGGGGGCTTGAACCCTCGAACCGTGAGATCATGACCTGAGCCGAAGTCGGCCGCCCAACTGACGGAGCCACCCAGGCGCCCCTAGCCGGTGACTGTCTCTGGTCACAGGTGGGATTGGATTTGTAGGATAAATTCCCGGAGGTGGAATGCTGAACCCAGTCGTTTATGTGTGTTACCTGTGACCGATAAGAATAGGTTTTTTTTGGAAGGGCCAGGCCCCACTGCTCATTAATCTGGTGAAAGCTGCAGAGCCAGTCTCCAGGAAGCTGGGCACGTGGGAAATTCAGTTTATTAATCCAGATCCAGGAAGCCCCAGATTCCTTGAATCCCACTGGTTCCTCCATCCCAGGTTCAGAACCGTAGGTGTGGACTTTGTGTGGGTAGAATCCACAGAACGAGCGACCGTCTTAGGGATTGTGTGGGCCCCGCTGGCCAACCAGGCTTTTCCCACAATTTGGAGAAGTCCAGTGGGAGGGAAGAGAAACGAGTCCACAGTCACACAGCTGGTACCTTTTGTCCCTTGATGGATAAAGTCACGACCCTGGTGTTCGGGGCAGACCCCAGATGATGGCTGACCCCTGGAGGAACAGAGACTGAATCCAGAGGGGTTCTGGGATTATTGCTGAGGGTACAGCCCTTTGCCCCAGCAGGATGGAATTAAGTGACCCGGCCCTGGGTTAGACCCTGCCCAACAGGCGCCAGACCCCCAAGGCTTGACCGGAGCACCTGGGAATGGCTGCCTGCTGTCTGGACCTTGATGTAGTCCCTCCTGCAGGAGAAGCCCTCTCGTCCCAACCCCCAGCTGTCAGGGCCCATGCTGGTGGCCCGGACGGTCCCAAGCAGACACACTGTGCCAGAGGAGCTAGCTAGGCCACTCAGACCGGCCACCAGGGCTCCTTCTCTCAGGGGGAAGCAGGTGGCCCGTGTTCAGATCTGTGAGAAGCGTGTCGAAACCTGGAAAGCGCGGCGTGGATCAACTTGTGATCTCACCCTTCCGTGAGGCCCGTCCCCAAAGAATTGCGATGGCCACGTCCTACTCTGGGAGCGGTTGTCTTGGCCTCATGATCCAGCTCTGCTGAGTCGTGCTCTCAAGAAGCATGCTGGCTGCACTCCATTCCCTTCTGCAATAGTTTCCACAGTCCCCCAGCATCTCTTGTTTATCAGGACAAGTCCAGCGTCTCCCTGTGGGTTTCTTGTCTGCGCTCAGTGACCCCCCTCTCATCCCCTTGTCCTCAGAAGAGGGTCAGCTGTTGAAGAGGGTGTTCTGGAGAATGGTATGAGGAGGCAGCTGATGTCTCTTGAGCTCTCACGGCGTGAGCAGGCGATAATGCTTTCAGCCGGCCAGTCTCAATCTGGCCTAAGCGTAAATGCACTCCCCTTTTACACAAAAAGACTTGGGGACATTTCTCTCTACTCTCCAGGAGACATTGGCAATATCTGGAGACATTTTGGGTTGTCACAACTTGGGTTCCTATTAGTATCTAGTGGGTGGAGGCTCGGGATGCCGCTCAACACCCCGTAACGCACTGGGCAGCCTCCACCCCCAAGAATTATCTGGGCCCAGACGTCACTAGTGCTGAGATTGAGAAACTCTGCTTTAAGATTTGAGAAGAGTGAGAATAATTATACCAAAACAAACAAACAACAACAATACAACAACAACAGAATCTCTCCTGGGCCATTCTTGTGACAGCTACCTGCTTTTCTTAGTTTTCAAAACACAGATAACCGCATATACCCAGAGAGACAGGCACGTAAAACTCAGCATCCAGATCCCACGTTGTCAGAACCCCAGAGTGTCTGTTGGCACCTGGTATTCTTAAGAAGGTAGAAGCTTGCATCGTTGCTTCTCAGCTGGGGTGACTAACCCTGCCCCCCTTCCCTCTGCCCCCCCCCACCCCCATGCACCCGCGTAGGGACATTTGGCAATGTCAGAGACGGTTTTTGGTCGTCACTGCTTGGGGAGAGGGTGCTGCTGGCATCGAGTGGGTAGGGGCCGGGGATGGTTGCTAAACACCTCACGGTACGCAGCCAGCCTTCCCCACAACAAAGAATTATCTGGCCCCAAATGTGAGGAGCGCTGAGGTTGAGAAACAGTGCTTTGAAACAGGCTCTTCGTGGCAGAGGCTTGTAACAGTGTTGTTTCTAAATTGAGAACTAGAAGCCAGGTGGATGTGGGAGAGCCAGGGGCAATGGAGAGGCTTGGTTCCTAGTTGACGCTGTGATATTGATTAAAAGTTTCTGATCTCACTGCCGATACTGATAACAAACCAGTTGTTAGTATCTGGCAATATCCCGGCAAAGTCCGTGCCAGTTCACCTCTGGTGACAACGTTCAAGTCTCGCATAAGGTTGGTTTGGACTTGAATGGGAAGTTCGTGAGCTTTTCTTGTTGCAAACTGGCCATCGCTGGGCTGAGGCACGGTGAAGGATCTGTAGAGGAAAATGCTGGAAGGAACAAGCATCTGTCTGAGGCCTCAGTCCTACCACCCATCTGGTGCTTATGTACATATAGGACTGGGGGTGATGCTTTAGTCTGAGTATTTCTGGGGACCTAAGGAGGGTAAGGAGACCCCACTAACAAGATCCAGACTTGGAAGTTCATTTCTCATTGTAAATAACATCAATTTCCAGACCTAAACTGCTAACTGCTTTCTGATATTTCTTGTGGCTGGGCCAGATTTGAGAGTGTAACTAGGGATAGAGTTGGCAGCCGCCTGGAATGCTGGCTTGACTTTTTTTTTTTTTTTTTTTTTTTTTTTTTTGGCCTGAAAGGAGGGAGAGAGTTTGAACTGAAAGATTGGTTCTGTGAGAGCTAGGAGGAAAATTCATGACTGCCATATCCCAGAGCTTTGAAGTTCGTTGGATGCTTGCTAGGCCCTGGGTTTGTGCCTAGGAGGAAAGATCAGACTTCCTTTGAGAGGCATGAGGTGGGGAAAGGGCTGGGGCACCCAGAACCCCAACCTTTAGAGTAATTAGTATCAGGGAGATGTGGCTGGTGTTTGGAACGTCCCCAGATCCTGCCTGCTCTGACCTATTTTTAAACCTTATTGTGTGGAATCCCACTTGATTTCCTAGCAAAGGGTTTAGCCTGTTAAGTAATAAATATGGAGTGATCTTAGATGCAAAAATCTGGACCGTGTAGCTCCCTCATCAGCGGGAATTAAAGCACGGAACCTGCGTGCTGAGCACAACAGGCAAAGTGGGGTCCCTGCCCCAGGCCCTTGAGCTCAGCAGCTGCAGGCTAATTGCCGGAAGACCCTCTGCCTTGGGGCAGCACACACGGGGATGGCTTTGGTTGTTACTGTGTCCACGTGAGATGGGATCTGGATTAAGTCCAACTTTGCCGGAAGCAACTCTGCTGACTCCCCTTGTAAGAAGACCTTTGAACTAGCGGCATCCCTGTGGGACCCTGGACCGAGATGTTCCCGTCCCGCTCCATTGGTGGACAGACCAGCCTGCTCTTTCCACTCGGCTTTGGGCCGCCAGCTTGCTGGATGGGTAGAGTAACCAGCCTGGTGTTTTAGGCCTGGACTAGGGAGCTACAGAACAGGGGTGAAACTGCCCTCCCCCAAAGGAACCTGGGACCTCCTTAAACCCCACC